AACAATAACTTTTCTAAACAAAAAAACAAAAAAACTCTTTAAATATATCTTAAATATATCTCCTAAACCTTGCGGCTCTAGGTTCAGTTGCTTGTGGGACCGTAAGTTTTGCTTATACTGGCATTGCGGTAGCTAGGCCACTGATACTACATGCAGATAAAGATATTTACGTTAAAAGTTCTAAATATTTTATGTTTTTTATAAGTCCTTACGGTCTTCGCACAGAGCACCGCTGATGAGCATTTAATTGAAAGTTCACGCCTTCTTCCTAACCGATGTCGAAAAGAAAATGTTCGGGGCTCCTTATTCTTCAAGGCATGGTGTTATAGTCCCGATAATTCAGGACAAGTTTAAACTTGCTCTCCTTAGTTTTTAATTAATAAATACATTTACGCAAAAGCTTGTAAAAAGGACTAACAATTATGCCAATTAATTTTCTTTCAAATAAACTACCCTTTCTGAGTCTCCCATAGGTATATGCGCCTTCTGCTAACATCTTTTTTTCAGCTTTGTCCAGACCTTTCGAACGGTTGGCCAGAGAGTGAACATTGTTGAGGTTTGCTTCAGAGAATGTTTATTATAGCTAAAACTATCATGACCGGAACTAGAGAGTTTTAATCATGGGCGGAACCCTATTATTGATTTTTTCAAACTTTACATGAAAGAAATATTTAAAAAACCGCGCAAATCGAATGTTAGGGAAAACTAAATGTCTTATGTCTTATTCCTTAAAATTTAATTTTTTTGCATTACTTTTGTACAAAATCCTGTCAAAGTTATTGTAAAATATAAGTAAATTTATTTACTTACTTTATATAAATTACTTTTAATTTACTTTACAAATTATATAAAATGTAAGTTTATGTAATTTAAACTTTTTTTATGTAACTTATTTTTAATAAAGATTTGTTATTACTTTTAATATAGAAAATTCCTACTTAAAAAATATTATTTTTTTTGTAAATTTAATTTACATTTGCTAGCATATTACTTTTATGTAATTTACTTTTATATGTACGTTACTTTTAATATAATTTTTTTTAATTAGTTACTTTTAAAGGTAAATGTAAATTACAGTTTAAGTAACTTTTATATTATGTAAAGTAATTTTCAAAAGTAATTAACTTTTAAATGTAAAAGTAAACAGCTTCTTTACGTGACTTACTTTTACATGTAAAAGTAAATTACTTTTTGATCTAATCTTTTTTTACATAAATTACTTTTGAAAGTAAAAAAACTTACATTATAAAGTAAAAGTCGTTTCAAAAAAATTAATTACTTATACGGAAATATAAATTTACATAAAACGTTTAAAATTACTTATGTAATTTACTTTTTGATAAAGATTGTTTTACTCGTATAAGTAAAAAAAAAGTAAGTAAAAGAGTTATCCCTACTACCAACTAATATTGACATTCTTTACTAGATGTCAATTCGTAATCCTTCAGTTTTTTATTTGATATTTTTAACATTTTGAAATTCTCTACTTATCTACATCTAATTTCTCTGGTTTTCTATCTGCCATTTTTAAACTTTATTATTAAACTATCTATACTAATATTATTAATTTTAGTACGAATGGGTTGGCATTCTTTATTTATCTATCTATTTATCTCTTTTCATTCAAAAATTCTCTATTTCTCAACTATTCTACTTCGTACTAAATCATTGTTGTTGCTATCACTCTTTACTAAATTTTTGTTGCTGCTGTTATTGTCGTTATTTATGAAATTCTTCTCTTATTATAATTGTTATTATTTCGTTACTATTATTATTATTGTTATAATTATTATTTTTGTTGTTGTTGTTGCTATTATTATTCTTATCACAATCATTGTTATTATTGTTATTACTATTATTATTGTTATTATTGTTATTACTATTATTGTTATTATTGCTATTATTAGTATTATTAATAACAGTTATTATTATTACTTTCATCATTGACGTTACGTTGTATATTGAGGTATTTACTTTATATTAGTACTTGTACTATTGTAAATTTCCTTGAAATGTTATAATTTATTTCGAAATATTTTTGATTTGATTAATTGAAAATACTTTTGAATACTTTTGATAGCGTAGCTAAAAATATAAATAGCTATAATATATAATAAAATTTTATGATACAAAGCGTACATTACCAGGTTTTTTCTCTCTAGTTTTGTAATACATATTGTTTTTGAAAAAAGGTTCCGGCGATCACTAGGATCTTTATACCTTTGTTTGTATTTTAATTGTATTTTTTTTTGTTATCTAGACTTTAAATTTACACTTACAGTTCGGACGTTACAGTTAAGAGACTTGAAATTTATTACTAATTTTAATTCAAATTTTTAATATTTAACTTATAATTATACATTATTTATTACTAAAATTTAATTTTAAAACTTTATTTTCTTTTGATCATTAACAAAAGTTTTTTTTTTTTTTTTTTAAAGAATCAACTAATTAAAGTCAACACATGAAACTATATGAGATAGTACACGCAAACGTAGATATCGTATGAGACAGTACACGCAAACATAGATATCGTATGAGACAGTACACGCAAACATAGATATTGCATGAGACAGTACACGCAAACATAGATATTGTAAGTCAAAAAAAAAAAAAATTAATCAATATACAAACGTAACATTATAAATTACATGTCTGGTTGTAACGAAATCAAATAAATACAATAAGTATACAAAAAAATATTTTTGACAATTTAAAAGCAAATCTAAAAAGCAGCATTTTTTTAAAAATATGCCCAAAAATGCGCTGACGTGGCAGTGGCTAGAGTTTTAACTCAGAACTAAAAGGTTTAAGGCTCGACGGCAGCTCTAGCCCGAAAAGCGCCATCGGAATTGAAGAAGGCTAGAACTAGTTCCTAGTTAAATGCTCTAGTTAAGGATTTCTGAGAGCACATTAATAACTAAAAAAAAAAACACACACTTACAAACACACAAAAAACTTTATTAAAAATCAAAAAGTTTTGAATATACAAAAATACCAATAAGTATTTATTAGATTAATAAATTTTGCAAAAAAAAAAAGTCGAACAAATTACTGAAAAATCTCGCGAAATAAAAAATCAAAAAACTTATTTTAGTTTAAATTTCTTCAGGACGAATTTAAAAATAATCTTAATAATCTGTGAGTTAGTGATGTAAATTTTCCAGTAAAATTTGATTCAAAATTTACCGGTAAATTTTAATTAGAGAACGGTAAATTTTCCTTTAAAAAATTAAAAAAAAAAAAAAATAATTGAAAAAAAAATTTAAAATTTACCAGGCGGTAAATTTTCAAAATTTTCCGGAAAATTTTCACCTTCGCAACACTACTGTGAGTTTACTACGCATAAAAAGAACGCTTTTTTAAACCAATACGACGCCGAGATTTCAAACCTATTTAAAGACGATGTTTTAAACTTATGCAATGCCGATATTTCAAACCTCTGCAATGCCGATATTTTAAAACCAAAACGATCTTCTTAATCTTGGTCCGCGCTATATATCTTCGTTGAAATACATGCATTACATGGATAATAATTATAAATATATAACTAGATTATGGCAACAAGATTGAAAATGCGAAGAGTTTGAGAAAAAAATGATCAAAAAAACTTAAATTAGGTAAAAATAAAACAAAAATTAACAAAAGAACAAAAAAAAAAGCTCTTATGAAAATCAAGGAAAAAAAAGCCAACTGCTGACGTCCGTAAATTTTAAACTGTCTTTTTAACGTTAAAATTTTGCATAATTTTACATGATTATATATATATATATATATATATATATATATATATATATATATATATATATATATATATGCGTATACTTAATATATATATATATATATATATATATATATGCCACTGTGGACCAGAGATGAGTTTAGGTTTAATGAAGTGTCACTCAAGTGAAACCTTTTTTAAGAGTATTTGTATTATAACAATAAAAAAGAGATTTTTTAAAAAAAGAAGAGTTTATTATTAACTTTGACATACTGCTCAAGACCCGGAAGAACAATTATTCACTTTTTGTTGGATTATGTAAAATATTTACAGTAATATTATAAAATTTAAATTTTTTTTTGTTGCTTAATATTTTGTTTAACTTATTTGACATTTATTTTTAAAAGAAAAAATTAACGGGCACCTAAAATGGTAAATGGGCTTATGTCCCCCTCAATTTTACCCTTTGCCCCATTTGTGACCCTTTGCATTTTTTTTAACTTTAAAAACGCTATTTTCTATTTTTATGAAACAAATACTCTTGATTAAAAATTTTTTTTGTAATTTGCAACTAGCACACATAAATGGGCTTATGCCCTCCTTGTGTTTACCCTTTTGCCTTATTTATGACCCTTAGCAATTTATTCGGATTTTAAAAAATCTCTTTTTTATTGTTATAATACAAATACTATTAAATAAAAATATACTTAAAAAATGCCTCAGATTTACGTTTTCAAAAGTTAAGATAAGTCGATTTACGCAATGTTTCTAGAAGTCAATATTTTTCGAAGTTTTACGCAATATTTTTCGAAGTTTTATGCAAAATTAATCCGAGTCAGCAATAATAATCCGAGTCAGCAAAATAATTGTGAAATAACAAATTCCTTTATTTTTAAGTTTTGATGAATTAATAATAGTGTCTGTTGTAATTTCAAAAAATTGGTTTAGTAATTTAAATTAAAATAAGTTTTAAAACAGAAAAAAGAAAAAGAATCCAAAGATAAAATTATTTACAAATAATATCTAATAGAATCTTTATTGCAATGCACCGTTAATTATGTAAGGTAAAAAAAAAAAATGTTTTAATTTGTTTATTCGCAGATGTCGCATAAAATTATGCATTTTTATTTATTTATATAACCTCATTAGAAGTATGTAAGAATCTCTTTCAAATTTGGCTTTTTGCATTATGTATAAATATATTGAGAAAAACAAACAAACCAAAAAACCGAGTTGAAAACATATTTATAATAGAAATGAAGAAAAAAACAAACATAGCTTAATATATTTAACTCCTATCAAATTTAATCGATGAGACATTCACTTTACTACAAATAAAAAAAAGTAACTAAAAAAAATAAAAAAAAAAATAAAAAAAAATAATAAAAAATGGGTAAAAACTAACTTAAATATAAAATTTAATTTAAATATTTAAAATAATAAAAATCTAATTTTAATAATAAATTAACAAAATGAACTTTAATCAATAATTACTTAGGAAAATAAATTCTTCACAATGGTTTATATATATATATGAATTTTAAGCTTTAGTATGTAGAATCTTCTAGTTCCTTTTGCAGATCAACATCATGATCGATGTTACTCATTCCGAGCCATTCATTTAAAAAAGATGCCGATAAGGGTTCAGAAAAAGGATTACGAATCGGATTAAATCTAATTAAAAAAAAATATACAGAAACTATTAGCAAAAGACACCTTAGATTAAGGTCCTTTTGATAGAAACATTTTTAATTTACATCGTAAATAATGTGTTTAAATATGTCCTTAATTTTAACACGAACTTGTGGATAAAAGTTATTATAAATAAGTTTTGAATTCGTTTTATGATAAAGGTAAAAAAAAAATTTTTAGCTTAGCAGTTTTCTCTGCCATCAAGAATTCTAACGTAGCATTAATTCTTGGAGGGTTATGGAAAACTCTAGCGTTGCAACAATCTCTGCAACGGAAAATTTTAGTGCAGCAGGGTACTTTACCATAAAGAACTTGTAAAATAATAACAAAAAAAAAATCCAAATAAGAATGAAATATAAAGAAAAAATTAAAATAATTGAGAGAAAAAAAGGAACAAAAAATATTTTATAAAAAAAAGTAAATAAAAAAGTAAAAAAAAAAGTAATAAAAAAATACATTATGCAGTAATATCAACAACTGATTAAAAAAACCCAGCTGATTTTCAAAGAATTAGTTTAATATGTAATCGATTAGGATATTTAAAGACCCTCATAGCTGATAATTAATAAAGCAAAAGTGTAAAGCCAGGTCTGCTTTAATATTGATCCTCTAAATCAAAACGATTAAATCTAAAATAACTAAAAACTTATCAGATTTATTAATATTTGCATACATGGCAATTTAATAAAAATATACATGCATACTTCAAACTAACACTTACATAAAGAACACATGCATACTACAAATAAACACATACATAGAGAAGACACGCATACTAAAAATAAACACATACATAGAGAAGACTAGAGCTAATAGATAGCAAGGGCAAGTTGGCGCAATTTACTTAGCCTTCCATAAGAAAATCACATAAACGATAAAAAAAACTGTCCTTAATAATCATTTTTATAACAGATTTGTTTGGAAGAATTTTAGAAATTCTATAGAATTTCTAAAATTCTTTTATACAAATCTGTTGTGGTAACAAACAATACAAATTTCATGCAAATCTGTTGTGGTAACAAACAAATTGCTACCATCTAATATCTCTGTTAATTTCTATAGAACTTTTTTTTCTATAGAAAAAAAGTTTTATAGCAATTTCTATAGAAATTAATAGACAACTTATAGAAATTCTATAGGCCATATGTTTCAAAAGCTTATAGAAATTCTATAGCACCTTTTTTCCTGGCAACACTTATCTTTCCAAGAGTAATTTCCAAGGAACATAAATAAGCAGGAGCTCCTTTCATTTCTTGAAATTACATATAAAAAAGGATGGAAAACAATGAAATTTTTTAGGATGTTTTCATTGGATGAAATTTTATAAAACTCTTTTCTAGCAACAAAGAAAATTTATAATTAATAATATATTATGATTATAAAATTCAGTTGCCATAGCATTATTAAATAAAGCTATTTTGACTTTTGACAATTTTGACCCCCTCATTACACATTGTAGTTACAGTTATTTAATGAGGGAATTACAATTTAAGACTGTATATAATACAGCTATCAATTAATGGATGCTCCACAATCCTGGAGAAATAGTTTCTAAGTAGCTAATATGTAGTGCTATTCTTTCAAAAAAACATAAAAGCTCTGAAATCTGCATTTTACAAAAGAGGTATATTTCATTATGTTTACATATATTGAATTTGTGTACAGTTATGAAAAAGCTTTTAATGTTAATAATAGATGAATAAAAAATAAACTGCTTCTGAAAATTTATCTTATCTACTTAATTAACCTGACAGAAATAGTCTAATGCCACAGCTGCAAATTTTTGATTCAATTAAACATTAAACACTGCTGCAACTTTTTGATTTAATTAAACATTAAACACCGCTGCAACTTTTTGATTCAATCAAACATTAAAATTAAGTTGAAGATTCGTAATACTCTTATGCTTGATCTGTCATCAGATTTTTTTATAAGGTCTAAAATTTTTCTAAAGCTGGAAAAAAGAATTTTAAGAAAGAGAAAAGGGAGTAGGTTTGAAATATGATTTGAAGGATGTATTAAGAAGACACTCCTGAAAGATTGAGAAAAGATCAAGCAATTGAAAATTAGTAAAACTTACCAAAGAAATACAAGCTAATTTACAGAATTGTAATAAAAAATAAAGTATAGTATCTTTAAGTTGTCAGATGTCAACAAAGTGAAAATTGTAACTAAACTTTGATCTGGCTTTTGTTAAAAAAACAAACAAAAAAAAAACACTGGCAATTAGCCAGTGTTTATCAAATCAAAGTTATTTTTATATATTTTTTCAACTCCAAAATTTTTTCAACTATAAAAATTGTTATTTTTAAACATATTGTTTGTTAAAATATATTTATTAACAAAAACTTTAACAAAAATATATTAACTTATATATATTAGTACTTGTTTTTATTAATGACAAAGAATGCATGAATTAGACTAAAATTTTTTTTAAAGTAAAAATCAAAAAGCCAAAACTTTCCTTTTCAAAAAACAATATAGTTTAAAGAATGAAAGTTTTTTGTTAATATCTTGATATAAAATTTGGTAAAATGTTTAAGTAAGTTTAATTGACTCTAAATTTTCCAAGATATGAACATCACAATTTTTCCTCAAATGTTTTCAAAGTTTATTTAAGAACATTTCAATGGTTTCTCAAAAGGTTTATTTAAGATGTAAACATTTCAATTGTTCTTCAAATAGGAGTTGAACTGTTATTTTTTTTTTATTTTTATTTGCATTCACTCCCAACAAGGCTGCAAGCAACCACTATTAAGTTGGGAGTTACTAGGAAAAAAAAAAGAACAGAGTTATAGAGCAAGGAAACGGTTGACAGAAGACTTGAAAAGTTGAAGGTTGTATGAGTCAGGAAAACATGAAGATGGGAGAGAGTTCCATAGATTGAAGTGCGGGGAAAAAAACTAGATGAATAAAAGTTTTTAGAGCATGCAGGGACAGATACAGTAAACGAATGAGACTTAGCTGAATGACGAGTAAAACGAGAATGAATTTTAGTTGATGGAACTAGAGATGATAACTCCTTTGAGCAGTGACCATGATAGTATCTGTAGAAAAGAGAAAGAGATGCAACTTTACGACGATGGGAAAGAGGCTCAAGCTTAGCAGATAGTCCAGGTCCAACAACGTTTACAATGCGTTTTTGGACCTTGTCAAGAAGAGAAAGTGAATCGTTAGAAGAACCAGCCCAAATATGACAACAGTATTCCATACAGGGACGAATAAGAGATTTGTAGAGGTAGAGAATGGAATCAGAAGTAAGGAAATGGCGAGCACAATAAAGAGAAGCAACCTTAGCAGAAGCTAATTTAGCAATCGATTGTATATATAGTTTCCATGAAAGGTCAGTAGTAAGCGATAATCCAAGAAGGCGTAAAGAGGAGGACTCAGTAAGAGGATTGCCATTCATTAATATAGGAATGTTGACCGTATTACGGTAGTTGTTTGCAGTAAGCAATTGGGGTTTTTTAGAGTTGAAATTCACAAGATACTGTGAACCCCAATCTATTACTGAAGTGAGATCAGATTCAAGATCAGCTGCTTGTTCTAGGCGATCGAAAAGAGAAGACTTTTTGTCAAGACAGGAGTATAAAGTTGAGTCATCAGCAAAAAGAGCTACTTTAGATGAAAGGTTGTCAGGAAGATCGTTTATGTAGATAAGAAACAAAACAGGGCCCAGGATGGAACCTTGGGGAACCCCAGAAGTTACTGGAAATAAAGAAGAGTGTTGGCCTTCAAGGATGACTTTAATAAACCGGTCAGAAAGAAATGATTTGATAATCTCAAAAACTTTCCCAGAAACACCATATGAAGCAAGCTTATGGAGAAGACCAGCATGCCAAACTTTGTCGAAAGCTTTAGATATGTCGAGAGCAATAGCCCTAGCCTCACTGCCTCCATCTAATGCACGATAAAATCTTTCAGTTACAGCAGTTAGCAAGTCGGCCGTAGAGCGAGAGGATCGAAAACCGTATTGATTGTCTGACAGCAGTTTATTTGACTCAAGATGAGATGTGAGGAATTTGTTGATCAAAGACTCAAAGACTTTGCTAATAACAGAAAGAAGACTGATCGGACGATAATTGGGGGGGTCAGAATTTTCTCCAGAGTTTTTGAAGATTGGAACCACAGATGCCATTTTCCAACAAGCAGGAAAACAAGATTCAGTCAAACACTTGTTAAATAGTTTAGAGAGAATTGAAGAAAGTTCGGGAGAACAATTCTGCAAAACTGTGACAGGAATGTTGTCTGGACCACAAGCTGTAGACGAGTTTAATTGAGATATGACTTTAGCAACAGAAGCCGGAGTGATTTGAATGTCTAACAATGGGTCAACCTGTTTGACTGGAATGGAAGGAAGAGAATGTCCATAAGATTCAAGAGTGGAATTAGAAGAAAAGTTCTTTGCAAACAGTTCTGCCTTATCCCTGGGAGAGGTAACAAGATCAGTCCCATGAATAAGAGATGGAATGTTAGATCTACCCTTGTTAACAATGCTGTTGAAGATTTTCCAAAAGTCTTTAGAGCCTAACTTCTGCGATAAGATGCGAGATTTAGTGAACTGAGAATAATGGCGTTTAGCATCAGAAAGCACCTTTTTACATCGATTTCTTGCAATAATAAATAGCCGTTTGTTCTCAAGAGAGTTGTTCTTTTGAAAAAGATGAAAAAAATGGTTACGATTGGATATAGCAGCCGCACAAGAAGGAGAAAACCATGGAGTAGAGTGAGGCTTGACTTGAAACTGACGAGAAGGAATAAAAGCTTCCATTCCAGCCTGAATCCAGGAGGTTACGTAGGAGGCGCATTTGTCAGCTGGGAGAGAAAAAACATCAGCCCAAGGCCCATCACGAAAAAAATCACGAAAGGAATCCCAATCAGCTTTAGGGTAGTAGAAGGTGGTGCGATGATAAGGTGAGCCCAAAAAAGAAGTACGAGAAGAAAGATTTATAGAGATCATTGCATGGTCAGAACCACCTAAGGGAGAAAAAGGAGAAACTGAACATAAGCTAGGGTCAGAGACAAGACATAAGTCAAGGAGTGAAGGTAAATGATTAGGGTTGTCAGGAAAACGAGTCACAAAGTTAACTATCTAAGTAAGAGATTGAGAAACGCAGAAGTTAAAGGCTTTAGTGCCAGCAGGATCAGTGGTGTTAGAGCCAAGCCATTCAGTGTGATGGGCATTAAAATCACCAACAACAACAATATTGGCAGAGGGGTAAAGAGAGAGGGCATGGTCAATTTGATCAGAGATAACATCTAAGAGAGTGGGAATCATGGGAAGAAGGAGAACGATAAAAAACAAAGAGAAAGGTGATAGAGTGAAGAGGTGCTAGGCGAAAGCACATAAAAGAATGGCCAATGGATTCGAACATGATTTCACGACAAATAGGGGAATTAATGCGTATGTATACCCCTAAACCTAGCATGTGACTATTGGAGTCTTTACGAATCAAAGGATAGTACCCATCAACACTGACATCTGAAGAAGGAATTGCAGAATTTAAATTTGTTTCACTGAGTGCAAGCAAGTCTGGTGAATTTTGCAGGAGGTAAGACTCAACTGATGGAAAGTTGCTTCGTAGACCGCGAATATTTGTAAAAGATATATTAAAATATTTAGGTGGTGGGGATGGTTTTTTTAGGTTTTAAATTTTTGGTTACTTTGGTCATGATTTGGGTTTAATGAGAACTTGACTCATTCATAGATAGAGCACAGCCTCCTAATCAATGAGCTATGCAGTTGTCTCAGTCCTGTTAATTAACCCTAAGCTGTGACATAGGGCTCCTTATGTGGCCTTGACAATGCACACCAAAAGCATTAACAGGGACACCATCCATGCGCAACATGGCACTGTTAATACTCTGATATTTTGCAGCTGTTGATGGAATCAGCCTCTCTGAGAGCTACCACAGAGTTCGGGAAACCTTACTACTAGCCGGCCTCAGAACCATTAAACTGAGTTTTAGAGCTGTACCCTCATATGGAGATAACAGGAAGAGTTGCATAGCCATTATCAAGGAGGCATAAGCAAAATTCTATGAGTAGAGTCAAGGAGATCCAGCATTCATCATCCTAGACAGGAAACAATGTAACACAGGTTACATCTACGCCAGCCTAATAGATGAAGAAGGGGTTCGAGGCTGGTTAGCAGAATTTTTCTGCTTACCCTTAAAGTCTTTGCCTAGGAGGCCTTCTACAAGACAGTAGCAGGATGCAGTTAACATCTGCCCAAGATGAGTATTTTTATCGAGACACCATCTCTAGCCTTTACTCAACCAAGAGCCCCAAGGCAGGGGAATTTTTAGTCGGAGTTTATTTCTCCTAGCCTTTGCATAAGAAGAGCACACTCTGCAAGGCAGCAGGGCTTGTGGCAGGTAGCACTGGGTTACGTGATACCAGTAGCAAGATTGATCTCGATTATCCTGACCTGACCTGGAGTAGTTAAAAGGAGTTACTTCCCGCAACAGTACTTTGAGAAAACCAGGCATGACATTTTGGAAGTGCATTAGGAAAAACACTGCATCTAACAAAATACAGGAGTCTAAGGTGAGTGTACGTTTTGTAGTTGGAGTAAGTAGTTAGTTACTGAGCTCACGCTGCATTAGAGTATAAACAGAACACAAACAAACATAAACATAAATCAACTTACGGGTGAGTCAACACCGCGCCAGAGGTTCAGACAGAACACAAACATACATAAAAAACATAAAGTAACTTACAGGTGAGCGAACACCGCGCCAGAGGTTCAGACAGAACACAAACATACATTAAAAAACATAAAAAACATAAACATAAACATATATTGGTTAACATTTTACAAAACAATTTTTTTTTTCCATTGTATTTGCTTTGTTTATTACTATGATTTTTTAAATACAGAATGTAAACCTTTTTCAAGTTTATTTCATTTATTTTGTTACTAAATATTTAAATTAAATTATTTAAATTTAGATATGCTAAGATTTATTATTCTTATACAACTACTTAAATATTAATTTTAAATTAATATTTATAGCATTAATTTTAGGTAAAAATTTTGGATATATTTTTTTTAACACTATTAGAAACCTAATAAACTACATTACTTTGAGGTCCTTATACTATATTTTTCTCAATTTTAGTTTCTTTGATGTAATTGTATAGACATTTAAAGAGAAAGTAACTCACTCCTACCCATACTCCTCTAGTTAAAAACATCCAAAACACAAGTATTCGAAAATACGCAACCTTATATATGCAATATAACTTTGACACAACTTTAGAATTAAACTTAAATTAATTTTCTTTTAAAAACAAATCTCTTACATGTCTCCTGCACTTAACAAATCTTCAAAATCCATTCCTAAACCATATCCAGCAGCTCCACTACGAGGTGTGTAAGGTGTGGTCATAACTGTTGTAAGAAATATGTCAGAATCGTCACCTCTTGAGACATTTTGAGGTTCAATGTTTGGGACTTCTAATTGATTTTCAACACTATTGTCAGGTTTTGGTGTTACCAAAAATCTACTATTATTTTCTTCAAAACTATTATGTTGTGAATTTAGAGAATACAATAATGAACTTTGTGAACATGCAAATGGTTTTTGAACACAACTATTTGTTATAAAACTTGAATCCAAATCATAACACTTATTATTGAAAATCTTTGAGTTACTTTCTTCAAAAATACTAACATTATAACGGGGCATATTTTGATTCAGTTCAGTGGTGTTAACTTGTTTGTGCAAATTATTTAGGCAGTCATTTTCTATATTAGTTTTTATATTAGAACCATCACAAACTAACAATGAACTTTGTTCAGGTAAAAGAGGTATTACAGTTTCAGATAAGCAAGGTATTACAGTGTCATTATTAACTGGTTTTAATTTAATGGTATTAAGCAACATATTTTTAACTATTGACCAATCACCAGGATTTGTATTTGGTAAAGTTGTGTTAATGTAACTAAATAAAGTGTCATTTTCATCAGTTTTTTCCTCTCCATTATGTGAAAGAACAGATGTCAAAGTTTCAATACTTTCAAATGGTTCTTTTTCACTTGAAATACTTTCAACATCAGCTGATAAGTTAGCTGTAAAACTCAAATCCGAAGAATTTATTGAAATTTCTGATAAATGAGATTCACCAGAGAATAAACATTTAGTTTCACTATTATTTAAGTCATTAAATACTTGAAAACTTTCTGAGTTTTCACTCTCTAAGTTCAGACTTACTAAGCTAACATTAGATTTATTTACTGTTTTACTTACAATGTTTTCTACTTTTTTATTACTAAATAAATTCACTGATTTTTCTAATGTTTTTTTCAATAGTGGCAGCAATTGATTACTTGTTGTTGCAACACATTCTTTTGCTGATGCTAGACTTTCTTTTGTCCTTGCTACGCTTTCTTTTGGCTCAGATGAAGTAGAATTAAGTTGAGAAGTAATAACAGGTTTTACACTTGCGCATGAGCTTACTGTCATTGCACCATTCATAGAAGGAGAAACTATTCTATGGTTGTTGTCTGCAGATGATTCGGCAGGCAAAATTTTGTTGTAAATCTTTGGTGCTATTCGAATTGGATGATTCATTAT